CTAAGAAAGAGAGAAAGAAAGGAAAAAAGAAGGAAAGTACCAAGCAGAGAAAGAGAAAAGAAAGGAAAAGAAAGAAAGGACCAAGTTAAGAAAGAGAAAAAGAAAGGAAAAGAAAGAAAGTACCAAGCAGAGAAAGAGAAAAGAAAGGAAAAGAAAGAAAGGACCAAGTTAAGAAAGAGAAAAGAAAAGGAAAAAGAAAGAAAGTACCAAGCAGAGAAAGAGAAAAAGAAAGGAAAATGAAAGAAAGTACCAAGCTAAGAAAGAGAAAAAGAAAGGAAAAAGAAAGAAAGTACCAAGCAAAGAAAGACAAAAAGAAAGGAAAAAGAAAGAAAGTACCAAGCTAAGAAAGAGAGAAAGAAAGGAAAAAGAAAGAAAGTACCAAGCAGAGAAAGAGAAAAAAAAGGAAAAAGAAAGAAAGTACCAAGCAAAGAAAGACAAAAAGAAAGGAAAAAGAAGGAAAGTACCAAGCTAAGAAAGACAAAAAGAAAGGAAAAAGAAAGAAATTACCAAGCTAAAAAAGACAAAAAGAAAGGAAAAAGAAAGAAAGTACCAAGCTAAGAAAGACAAAAAGAAAGGAAAAAGAAAGAAAGTACTAAGCTAAAAAAGAAAAAAGAAAGGAAAAAGAAAAGAAAGTACCAAGCAGAGAAAAGAAAAGAAAGGAAAAAGAAAGAAAGTAAAGCAGAGAAAGAGAAAAAAAAGGAAAAAGAAGGAAAAGTACCAAGCTAAGAAAGACAAAAAGAAAGGAAAAAGAAAGAAAGTACCAAGCTAAAAAAGAGAAAAAGAAAGGAAAAAGAAAGAAAGGACCAAGTTAAGAAAGAGAGAAAGAAAGGAAAAAGAAAGAAAGTACCAAGCTAAGAAAGACAAAAAGAAAGGAAAAAAAAGAAAGTACCAAGCAGAGAAAGAGAAAAAGAAAGGAAAGAGAAAGAAAGTACCAAGCTAAGAAAGAGAGAAAGAAAGGAAAAAGAAAGAAAGTACCAAGCAGAGAAAGAGAAAAAGAAAGGAAAAAAGAAGAAAGTACCAAGCAAAAGAAAGACAAAAAAGAAAAAAAAGAAAGAAAGTACCAAGCAAAGAAAGACAAAAAGAAAGGACAAAGAAAGAAAGTACCAAGCTAAGAAAGAGAGAATGAAAGGAAAAAAAAGAAAGAAAGTACCAAGCAGAGAAAGAGAAAAGAAAGGAAAAAGAAAAAAGAAAGGACCAAGTTAAGAAAGAGAAAAAGAAAGGAAAAGAAAGAAAGTACCAAGCAGAGAAAGAGAAAAGAAAGGAAAAGAAAGAAAGGACCGTTAAGAAAGAGAAAAGAAAGGAAAAAGAAAGAAAGTACCAAGCAAAGAAAGAAAGAAAAAGAAAGGAAAAAGAAAGAAAGTACCAAGCTAAGAAAGAGAGAAAGAAAGGAAAAAGAAAGAAAGTACCAAGCAGAGAAAGAGAAAAAGAAAGGAAAAGAAGGAAAACCAAGCTAAGAAAGACAAAAAGAAAGGAAAAGAAAGAAAGTACCAAGCTAAAAAGACAAAAAGAAAGGAAAAGAAAAGAAAGTACCAAGCTAAGAAAGACAAAAGAAAGGAAAAGAAAGAAAGTACCAAGCTAAAAAGACAAAAAAGAAAGGAAAAGAAAGAAAGTACCAAGCAGAGAAAGAGAAAAGAAAGGAAAAGAAAGAAAGCAACAAGCAGAGAAAGAGAAAAAGAAAGGAAAAAGAAGGAAAGTACCAAGCTAAGAAAGACAAAAGAAAGGAAAAGAAAGAAAAAGTACCAAGCTAAAAAAGACAAAAGAAAGGAAAAGAAAGAAAGTACCAAGCTAAGAAAGAGAGAAAAGAAAGGAAAAGAAAGAAAGTACCAAGCTAAGAAAGACAAAAGAAAGGAAAATAAAGAAAGTACCAAGCAGAGAAAGAGAAAAAGAAAGGAAAAAGAAGGAAAGTACCAAGCTAAGAAAGACAAAAGAAAGGAAAAAGAAAGAAAGTACCAAGCAGAGAAAGAGAAAAAGAAAAGGAAAAGAAGGAAAGTACCAAGCTAAGAAAGACAAAAAGAAAGGAAAAAAGAAAGAAAGTACCAAGCTAAGAAAGACAAAAGAAAGGAAAAAGAAAGAAAGTACCAAGCTAAGAAAGACAAAAAGAAAGGAAAAAAGAAAGAAAGTTCCAAGCAAAGAAAGACAAAAAGAAAGGAAAAGAAGGAAAGTACCAAGTTAAGAAAGACAAAAAGAAAGGAAAAAGAAAGAAAGTACCAAGCTAAGAAAGACAAAAAGAAAGGAAAAAGAAAGAAAGTACCAAGTTAAGAAAGACAAAAAGAAAGGAAAACGAAAGAAAGTACCAAGCTAAGAAAGAGAGAAAGAAAGGAAAAAGAAAGAAAGTACCAAGCAGAGAAAGAGAAAAAGAAAGGAAAAAGAAAGAAAAGTACCAAGCAGAGAAAGACAAAAGAAAGGAAAAAGAAAGAAAGGACCAAGTTAAGAAAGAGAAAAAGAAAGGAAAAAGAAAGAAAAGTACCAAGCAGAGAAAGAGAAAAAGAAAGGAAAAAGAAAGAAAGGACCAAGTTAAGAAAGAGAAAAAGAAAGGAAAAAGAAAGAAAGTACCAAGCTAAGAAAGAGAGAAAGAATGAAAAAGAAAGAAAGTACCAAGCAGAGAAAGAGAAAAAGAAAGGAAAAAGAAAGAAAGTACCAAGCAGAGAAAGAGAAAAAGAAAGGAAAAAGAAAGAAAGGACCAAGTTAAGAAAGAGAAAAAGAAAGGAAAAAGAAAGAAAGTACCAAGCAGAGAAAGACAAACAGAAAGGAAAAAGAAAGAAAGTACCAAGCAGAGAAAGACAAAAAGAAAGGAAAAAGAAAGAAAGTACCAAGCAGAGAAAGAGAAAAAGAAAGGAAAAAGAAAGAAAGTACCAAGCAAAGAAAGACAAAAAGAAAGGAAATAGAAAGAAAGTACCAAGCAAAGAAAGACAAAAAGAAAGGAAAAAGAAAGAAAGTACCAAGCTAAGAAAGAGAGAAAGAAAGGAAAAAGAAGGAAAGTACCAAGCAGAGAAAGAGAAAAAGAAAGGAAAAAGAAAGAAAGGACCAAGTTAAGAAAGAGAAAAAGAAAGGAAAAAGAAAGTAAGTACCAAGCAGAGAAAGAGGAAAAGAAAGCAAAAAGAAAGAAAGGACCAAGTTAAGAAAGAGAAAAAGAAAGGAAAAAGAAAGAAAGTACCAAGCAGAGAAAGAGAAAAAGAAAGGAAAATGAAAGAAAGTACCAAGCTAAGAAAGAGAAAAAGAAAGGAAAAAGAAAGAAAGTACCAAGCAAAGAAAGACAAAAAGAAAGGGAAAAGAAAGAAAGTACCAAGCGAAGAAATAGAGAAAGAAAGGAAAAAGAAAGAAAGTACCAAGCAGAGAAAGAGAAAATAAAGGAAAAAGAAAGAAAGTACCAAGCAAAGAAAGCCAAAAAGAAAGGAAAAACAAAGAAAGTACCAAGCTAAGAAAGAGAGAAAGAAAGGAAAAAGAAAGAAAGTACCAAGCAGAGAAAGAGAAAAAGAAAGGAAAAAGAAAGAAAGTACCAAGCAAAGAAAGACAAAAAGAAAGGAAAAAGAAAGAAAGTACCAAGCAAAGAAAGACAAAAAGAAAGGACAAAGAAAGAAAGTACCAAGCTAAGAAAGAGAGAAAGAAAGGAAAAAGAAAGAAAGTACCAAGCAGAGAAAGAGAAAAAGAAAGGAAAAAGAAAGAAAGGACCAAGTTAAGAAAGAGAAAAAGAAAGGAAAAAGAAAGAAAGTACCAAGCAGAGAAAGAGAAAAAGAAAGGAAAAAGAAAGAAAGTACCAAGCAAAGAAAGACAAAAAGAAAGGAAAAAGAAAGAAAGTACCAAGCAAAGAAAGACAAAAAGAAAGGACAAAGAAAGAAAGTACCAAGCTAAGAAAGAGAGAAAGAAAGGAAAAAGAAAGATAGTACCAAGCAGAGAAAGAGAAAAAGAAAGGAAAAAGAAAGAAAGGACCAAGTTAAGAAAGAGAAAAAGAAAGGAAAAAGAAAGAAAGTACCAAGCAGAGAAAGAGAAAAAGAAAGGAAAAAGAAAGAAAGGACCAAGTTAAGAAAGAGAAAAAGAAAGGAAAAAGAAAGTACCAAGCAGAGAAAGAGAAAAAGAAAGGAAAATGAAAGAAAGTACCAAGCTAAGAAAGAGAAAAAGAAAGGAAAAAGAAAGAAAGTACCAAGTTAAGAAAGAGAGAAAGAAAGGAAAAAGAAAGAAAGTACCAAGCAGAGAAAGACAAAAAGAAAGGAAAAAGAAAGAAAGTACCAAGCAAAGAAAGACAAAAAGAAAGGAAAAAGAAAGAAAGTACCAAGCTAAGAAAGAGAGAAAGAAAGGAAAAAGAAAGAAAGTACCAAGCAGAGAAAGAGAAAAAGAAAGGAAAAAGAAAGAAAGTACCAAGCAAAGAAAGACAAAAAGAAAGGAAAAAGAAAGAAAGTACCAAGCAAAGAAAGACAAAAAGAAAGGAAAAAGAAAGAAAGTATCAAGCTAAGAAAGAGAGAAAAAAAGGTAAAAGAAAGAAAGTACCAAGCAGAGAAAGAGAAAAAGAAAGGAAAAAGAAAGAAAGGACCAAGTTAAGAAAGAGAAAAAGAATGGAAAAAGAAAGAAAGTACCAAGCAGAGAAAGAGAAAAAGAAAGGAAAAAGAAAGAAAGGACCAAGTTAAGAAAGAAAGAAAGAAAGGAAAAAGAAAGAAAGTACCAAGCAGAGAAAGACAAAAAGAAAGGAAAAAGAAAGAAAGTACCAAGCAGAGAAAGAGAAAAAGAAAGGAAAAAGAAAGAAAGTACCAAGCTTAGAAAGACAAAAAGAAAGGAAAAAGAAAGAAAGTACTAAGGTAAGAAAGACAAAAAGAAAGGAAAAGAAATAAAGTACCAAGCAGAGAAAGAGAAAAAGAAAGGAAAAAGAAAGAAAGGACCAAGTTAAGAAAGAGAGAAAGAAAGGAAAAAGAAAGAAAGGACCAAGCAAAGAAAGAGAAAAAGAAAGGAAAAAGAAAGAAAGTACCAAGCTAAGAAAGACAAAAAGAAAGAAAAAAAAAGAAAGTACCAAGTTAAGAAAGACAAAAAGAAAGGAAAGGAAAGAAAGTACCAAGCAGAGAAAGAGAAAAAGAAAGGAAAAAGAAAGAAAGGACCAAGTTAAGAAAGAGAGAAAGAAAGGAAAAAGAAAGAAAGTACCAAGTTAAGAAAGACAAAAGAAAGGAAAAAGAAAGAAAGTACCAAGCAGAGAAAGAGAAAAAGAAAGGAAAAAGAAGGAAAGTACCAAGCAGAGAAAGAGAAAAAGAAAGGAAAAAGAAAGAAAGGACCAAGCTAAGAAAGAAAGGAAAAAGAAAGAAAGTACCAAGCAGAGAAAGAGAAAAAGAAAGGAAAAAGAAAGAAAGTACCAAGCAGAGAAAGACAAAAAGAAAGGAAAATGAAAGAAAGTACCAAGCTAAGAAAGAGAGAAAGAAAGGAAAAAGAAAGAAAGTACCAAGCAGAGAAAGAGAAAAAGAAAGGAAAAAGAAGGAAAGTACCAAGCTAAGAAAGAGAGAAAGAAAGGAAAAAGAAAGAAAGTACCAAGCAGAGAAAGAGAAAAAGAAAGGAAAAAGAAAGAATGTACCAAGCAGAGAAAGAGAAAAAGAAAGGAAAAAGAAAGAAAGTACCAAGCAGAGAAAGAGAAAAAGAAAGGAAAAAGAAAGAAAGTACCAAGCAGAGAAAGAGAAAAAGAAAGGAAAAAGAAAGAAAGTACCAAGCAGAGAAAGACAAAAAGAAAGGAAAAAGAAAGAAATTAATGCTAAGAAAGAAAAAGGAAAAGAAAGAGTACCAAGCAGAGAAAGAGAAAAAGAAAGGAAAAAGAAGGAAAGTACCAAGCTAAGAAAGAGAGAAAGAAAGGAAAAAGAAAGAAAGTACCAAGAGAAAAGGAAAAAGAAAGGAAAAGAAAAGAAAGTACCAAGCAGAGAAAGAGAAAGAAAGGAAAAGAAAGAAAGTACCAAGCAGAAAAAAAGAAAAAGAAAGGAAAAAGAAAGAAAGTACCAAGCAGAGAAAGAGAAAAAGAAAGGAAAAAGAAAGAAAGTACCAAGCAGAGAAAGACAAAAAGTAAGGAAAAAGAAAGAAAGTACCAAGCAGAGAAAGAGAAAAAGAAAGGAAAAAGAAGGAAAGTACCAAGCTAAGAAAGAGAGAAAGAAAGGAAAAAGAAAGAAAGTACCAAGCTAAGGGAGACAAAAAGAAAGGAAAAAGAAAGAAAGTACCAAGCTAAGAAAGAGAGAGAAAAAAAAGGAAAAAGAAAGAAAGTACCAAGCTAAGAAAGACAAAAAGAAAGGAAAAAGAAAGAAAGTACCAAGCTAAGAAAGACAAAAAGAAAGGAAAAAGAAAGTACCAAGCAGAGAAAGAGAAAAAGAAAGGAAAGAGAAAGAAAGTACCAAGCTAATAAAGACAAAAAGAAAGGAAAAAGAAAGTACCAAGCTATGAAAAAAATAAAAAAGCACTGATCTCAGAAAGAAATGACGAAAAAGAAAGAAAGCACCAAACTACGAAAGAAAAAAGAAAGAAAATACTAAGCTATATAAGAAGAAACGCGAATACATAAAGAATTAAAAGGAAAGAAAGAAAGAGAGAAAGATAAAAAGGAAAAAGAAAAGGAAAGTTAGACGTTAAAAAAGAAAGAAAGAAAGAATAAAGCTGCAGAAGAAAGAAATCATAAGTCTTCTATAATAATAAAGCTCAGTTTATGTGTGTTCGCCTGTCCGTCCCTTTTTCGATCTCGGCGAATCATAAACAGTGTCAAGCAGTGGTTCTCAACCTTTTTTTACCCATGGACCCCTTTCCCCTTCTTTTTATCTTGGTGGACCCCTTCATAGCTATTGGACATAAGAACAATTTTCTATTCTTCACTAATATAAATTTTAAGGTTTTAATTATCAAAGAAATAGTATACGATTAAGCTTTATTTTTAAATGAAAACTAATTTAATACAAATAAAATATTCTACTATAATTATAATAATAATTATTATTACTATTTTTAATTAACACAACAATTGTGTTTTGCCTGTGGACCCCCGGAAATATTACATGGACCCCTAGGGTCCATGTAGACCCCGGTTGAGAACCACTGGTGTAAAGTAACAGGTGTGTTGTAATCCACGGTTACCTCCCTTGTCAAGTAATGGTATCTGCCTTCAATATAAAAACAGAGAATGAATGAGGAGAGGAGATTTTAAATTTTACGCGTTAAACAGTTTGGACGTCAAAACAAACAGTTAAAGCCGCCATCTTCTCTTCTTTCCCCCTTCTGTAATTTAATACAATTAAATTACGCCACAACAGGTAGTAACTACTCTAGTTACACGCGATTACAAATTAAATAAATCATTTAGAGATAAATTTAAATATTGAACACAGTGAAAGTTTTACAAAACAATTGTTTTTCTAGCATACGTACTGTGACGTATTCGAAATATTACATGGTTCTGGTTCCCTAGTTGTCATACCTGGACGTACCTATTCTATTGTAATGGACTCTCCCACAGATAATAAGTAGTAGTAGCGGTCGCCAGTTCGGCTTAGTGGTGTTGAGCGAGTCAGACGATATCGGACATTGAAGTACCAACCATCACAACTAGATTTCTGCGTCATTAACTCTTATTTCCAAGTGCCTAACGTTTTTGTACGTCGAACCTAATTTAGGACGACTTATTGAAATACAAGCCTCCACTGTGAAAACTACTCTACAACACTAGTGTTTTTTAAGAGTGACTTAATGTGAAGGGATCATAAGGAAAGGTGATTTTAAAATGAAATAAAAATTGCACGCAAAATAAATGTAAACAATCTATGGAGATCAGTTGCGTATACGAAGAAAAATTATGCCGAATTAAGGTCTCTAATAAAGATAAAATAATTTTATTATTTGTAAATACTTATAAATCTTACGTACATAAGACAGTGAAAGTAAAAGGCCGAAAGCCCAAAAGCTGTCCACAGGAGCTAGGGTAAAGTCCACCGGAAGGGCGGCTTCTAGGCTAGTTTACAAATAAAAACGGAAAAAAAACACGATTCTACGAAATAAATGAAGAAAGAAAAGGAAAAGGAAAGAAGTTACGAGAAAAGAAAGAAAGAAACAAACAAACAAACAAACAAACAACTTTATTTTAAGTGTCTACCTGAGAAAAAAGAAACGAAAAAAAAATAAGAAGTCCTTAAAGAAATAAAAAGAAAGCACATTTTTGGCGGAAAATAAAAAGGAATGAAAAAATTGTGTAGATAGAGTGAGAGTAAGAGAGAGAGAGAGAGAGAGAGAGAGAGAGGGGAGGAACCTAATCAGGTAAAGTACTTCTACCGAAGGAAAAGAAAGACAGAAGGCGTAGTTATTTAAGAAAATTTGAAAAAAAAAATCTTATTTAGGACCACTTGACATTTAATGGAAAGAGGTCAACTGTTCACTGCAACTTTCAAGACTCACCCCCGGTTAGTTAGCCAGGCTGAAACGTAGCCCGGCCTACAAGGATATCTGTCGATGCCTTCAATATAATGTTTTGAAATCATTATTTAATAAGCCCAACATAGTTTAGTACAAGATCATAAGTATAGAACACACAGTGGGGATTAAACTCAGTAATGGTTTACTAGACTAACTCGTTAATCGTTAACACACGCAAAGTCATACTTTTCTTTACAAAAGCTTCGTTCAGTCTGACACAAGCCAATAAGCATCGAGTTAGAATCAAAAACACTGCTGATTAGTAATGATTAACCAATTTAGCTCGGTAACCATTACCATGGCAGTGAGGTGCTCTTTGTTGATTATCAGGCTTTAGTTTGGTACCAGATCACAAGTGTGAGGCATCCAATAAGCATCAAACAAATTACTAAATATTAATGGTCCACCAAACAAGCTCGTTAACCATTACCGAATGTCAAGATCCCCTTTGTTATTTACGAAGCTTAGTTTAGTTTGACAAGAGACCACAAGTATGGGGAACCCAAGGAGGATCAAACAAAATACTCAACATTCCTGGTCAGCAAGTTTAGCTCGTTAACCATTACTCAATGCGAAGGTCTCCATTGTTATTAACGAATCTCAGTTCAGTCTTTACACGAGGCAACTAGTATGGGGAACCCAATGAGGATCAAATAAAGTACTCAGTTGTAATTTTCAGCCAGACTAGCTCGTTAACCATTACGGAATGCCAAGTCCCCCTTTGTTATTTACGAAGCTTAGGATAGTTTAGTTTCAAAAGAGGACATATGTATGAGGAACACAATGAGGATCAATCCAACTACTTTATAGCCATGGTCATCCAAAGTAGATCGTTAACCATTACCGAATGCCAAAGTCTCCATTGTTATTTCCGAAGCATAGTTTAGTTTGAGCAGAGTCGACAATTATGAGGAACCCAATGAGAATCTAATAAAATACTCAGCAGCAATGGTCAACGAGACTTGCTTGTTAACCATTACCAAATGTGAAGGCCCACTTTGTTATTTATGAAGCTTAGTTTATTTTGACAAGCGGCCAAATGTATCAGGCATCCAAACTACAAAATAGTAATGACCACCCAGTTTAGCCCGTTAACTATTACTGAATATCAAGGTCCCCTTTGTTTTTTACGAAGCTTAGTTTAGTTTGACAAGAGGTCACATGTATGGGGAGCCCAGTGTGGAAACAAAACTTTAATTTGGTAATGGTTAACCAAACTTGCTCGTTAACCATTACCGAATGCAAAGATCCCCTTTCGCTTTGTTTGCCACAGGGATACAAGCATGAGGTATCCAATATGCATGAAACTTCTCAGTAAAAACTGTCGACCAGACTTGCTAGTTAGTTACTCCTCATTGTTGAGGTATTTGAAACCAAAGTGGAGTTTTTATGTTTAATTCATTCTCCAACTCGACGAACAATACGTTATCCGCGCACGATCTGCAGGCAATCACCGGTTCATGCCTGTTTCGGCGATGTGACCGTTATGCGGAGTAAACTAGAGTACATCCAACGACCAGTGGCCATCTGTTCAGTCTTGCTCCTCAAATTGCCATCAACATCACAGCCAGCAGTATTAAATACATTTACGATAATGTTCGTCCTATATAAGGCCCAAGAACCACCCGAGAAAGAGGTTCACAGTGTAAGATGTAAGAGGACTACTTTATGAAGATATGTAGAGAAGATAACGGTTAACCCTAGATTTGAACAGGTTAAGATTGTAATGATGGGGGAAGTAGCGGTTCGTGGGAAGGGGTTACTGGACTGGAACTTACATCTCACGAAATGAATGCAAAGGGGATAAGGGCAATTCGATACAAAGTGCGTCGCATGGTGGGTCTTAGCCGGGAAGGTTAGAACTGATGGAACGAAGAAATGACATTCCTCTGAACAGTAGCCATAGAAATAGCGACAGGCTTGCAAAGTTTAGTTTCTGGGAAAGGTGTTTCAGGACGGGAAATAATTCACTACCTACAAGGCCGGGTAGGCGTGGAAAGTGAAAACTGGGCGGCTTCTGTCCAAATATGGCAGAAGTAGTCCATTTCTCGGCCTGATCCTGGCTCTTGAAAGGTAGAGGATAGCAGGAGCAGTACATGGACCCGACCATTTTTCCAGCATCTTTAGCGATGGATCGTATGTACGAGTTTCACTTCACTAAATACAAAATGGGAACGCAAAAGAGGAGAAAGGATATGTCTAGATGTCCTTTTTGTTACGTACATGCGAAGTTCCTGTGAAAGAATGCTCCAAGATACGTTTGAGAACTGTCCTTTATCCATCGGTTTGGTGAAATCATCAGGTATATTTGTGCATAGTGAATTAAATTTAGGGCATGGTATTCTACATTGGTTCACTGTGTATTGTTCAATGCGACACGAGGTTCACTGGCGACTAAAAGGTCCCTCAGAGGAGAAAAGGACAATTCTTATCTCTAACGTCTAATGAGTGTAAAAGAAAAGGAAATGAGACTTTTTGCACATTTTTGTTAGATACAGCTTTGGGAAGGCCACCTAGCGGATCGTTAGAAGATTATTTGACAGACAGGGGAGGTAACCCCACAGATATCATGAGACATTTACTTCCTAAACTTGTGTTAATGGTATTGTGAAAAGTCAACTTATTTATTATATCATTTTTTTCCAGTCTAGTTATATGTGCTATTTGTTTTTTGTTGTTATTGTTAACACGATTCTTATTTTGCCTTATTACTGTTCTTTCGCCTTATTTTGCCTCGCATATGTTACCTGCTTTCGTATAATAGAAGTTAAGGATATTTCATCATTACTGAAATAAAGATAAAAAATTTCATCATATTAAAATAACCTTGCCATCAGTGATGAGAGAAAATAAGGATATTTCATCATTCTAATATCTGAAATTTATAAAAAAAAAAAAAAAAGAAACACCCTTCCACCACAAGCAGGAGTAATAGCAGTAGTAAAAAGGCCCAACACACGCGTATCCTTATTCCTTCCGTTAAAATCGAAAACTGACGATTTCAAACGTTATTCTCACCAACGAAATTCTCGGAACAAGAAAATAAACAATTAAGTAGAAACTTGTAAAGAAACAAAACAGACAGTAACACTGAGAACATTTTTAACACACACTATACCAATATCTGTAATTTAGATGATGAAAAAGAAAGATACAAATTTTTATTATTAATGTCAACACGTGTTTCTGGTATTATTGTTTGTGTTATTGTTGTACGTTTTTATTCATTTCGTTTTCAGTATAAAAAAATGTAAAAAGGATTCCTCTATCAACTACTACTACAAGTACATATAATAACAGGGTAATTACATTAACTACCTTAGCATCCGATCCTGTTACACGTTAATATAATCCATTTTTACCTTGCGTTATTATGGTGGTTAAAATTGTTCGAACTTTCCAGCATGTATCAGCGAATTAGACGTGTATCAAGCACAATTAAAATAAAGTCATTGCCGTTTCTGTCCGCTGTTCAACTTGACATAAATTCAAGTGGTTGTTGAGTTCAAACGTGATTTCGCGTCCACCCGAGTGAGCTGACGCATTCTGTTTTGCTTTCTGGATCATCATCGTTACTAGTACATGAAAGTACCGTTACAAATTTGCCAGAGGCTATCGAAATGAGGAGGAAAATAAACGTGATTGGCGAACTTCCAAATATTGAAGAGTGCTCAAGACTTCCGTCCACAGAGGAGCTGGTTTGTTTGCGTTAGTGCTTGTTTACACGATTAGAGAGATCGACTCTTTCTTGAACCTGTTTCAAGGAAATACGTAATTATATTGACGGAAATATTCTAGATAATACAGGTAGGCAAATATTAGGTTATTAGTAAATTTTAAAGACTATTTCTTTGTAATGAATTGCACTAGTCTTTCATTACAAATACACAGATCGTCAATCTGCAATCTATTGGTAATATTAGTAGTAGTTTGACATTTTCAATGTTTCCTTATTAATACTAATATTTTAACGTGTATTTCTTTCATTTCAATATCACTTGTCTATCATTACAAATACACAGATCGACATTCTGAAACCTATTGGTAATAGTTGTAGTAATATAGGTCAAAAGGCAGCCGATGTCTAAATAGACCTCAAGTCCGTCGTTAACTGGGGCAAGTAATGGCTTGTTAATTTTAACGCCTCCAAAACTAAGCTGTTCTTTATTAAGCCCCCGATAGAACCCTCTCTGTCTTTCAGCAGAATGGCTGATATTAACCTGCAGTAAAGCGTCTCGTTGCACCTTATCGGAATAACTTTCTCGGCTGACATGAATTGGAAAGATTATATTGAATCCATTGCTAGGTCAGGGAGAAAGTTCTTTCCTTGTGTTATGCGAAACAGATCTTTCCTCCAGAATCTATCTTACATATCTATAAGTTTATCATTCGTCCATGCTTAATATATTGCTGCCACATACGGACCCATTCCCCTGCTACTTACCTTGAGCTCCTTCATAAAATAAAATAAAAAATCAGCAATTTTATTCGTCCTGATCTGGCTGCTCGGCTTCAGTCCCTTTCCCACCGCTGTAAGGTTGCCTCTCTGTGTCTTTTCTATAAATACTTTCATGTTGACTGTTCAACTGAGCTCTTGGCTACGGTACTCTTTTCTATGGGCCTGTTTTCCAGCTTAGGCTTGAGCAAGCGTCAAGAGGTCAAACTCTCTGCTTTCGGACAGAGAGGTACTCAGCCGAAGGGCAGAGTCTCGTCTGGGGAGGTAGACAAACCCGACTTCGTGTATGCAGAGTCTACGGGGAATTTTTGCCCGAGCCTGCAGGCTCGCATCGTCCCACATAAAAATTGGCCTTGTGCCACATCCTGCCTCATTGGGAGGGGTCGGGTAAACATCACTCTTCGCTATGGTACCAAGACTTTTTTTTAATATAAACGCAGTACTAGACTAGCGTCAAGATCTCATCAATTTACTCCTGAGCTGGGTAAATGTAGCTGCTTGGTTTGGTTTGCTTTACGGCATATCAACACCTCAATGGGTTATTTAATACCGACAAAATTTTTATTGCTGGTGATATGTTTTTCTTCAAAAATCTATTTCTGGGAATATTTTTCTTTGAAGAAATCTATAGCTGGTCATTTTTTTCAAAGAATGTATAACTGTTTGTATTGATGGTATTTTTTTAAAAGTATTGCTGATAATAATTTTTCCTTCAAAAATTATTGCTGATAATAATTTTTCCTTCAAAAATTATTGCTGATGATAATTTTTTTATTACAAAGTATTTCTGGTATCAAAACGTATTTTTACACAAGTTTGGGTGTTAACTATTTGCCGATAGCTGGGACCCTAACAGGTGCTACCACCGCGGGTCAGAGTGGACCTGGGAACATCAGCAATTAAGAGGTGGTTCCACGCTCCTCAAAACCGCCTGATCAGAGGCCTTGCTGTTGGACGTAGTTTATCGTCATACCTAGGGCGCGGATGTAGTTTATCGTCTTACCCAGAACGAAGATGTAGCTGTAAGTTCTATGCTAACAGTTTCTTTTCTCGCACTTCTCGATTGTGGAACTCCCTTCCTGCTTCCATGCTTTCTGCACAACTTTAATTTGCAAAAATTTACATGCAATGTCAATCACTGTCTACTGTCCTCCTGATTATTTTTTTTCCTCCCGCTTATTATTAATGTTTCTCTTCCTAATTCTTCCAGACTTTGTAACCTCTTGTGTCTTAGCGGCTTTAGTGCCTTGCATGGGGTGATACCAATTAAAAAAAAATATTTTTTCAAAATTTCAATTTCTTATAATGTGACATATGATTTAAGTTAAAGTTTTTTTTGATCTCATAGAAAGCCAAGCAAAATTGTTTGTTATTAAATAATGCTATGATTATATAGGGTGTCCATAAAGTTCATGTGCACTTAAAAAAAATTATAACTTTATTTGTATTTGCGATAGAAATAATCTGTAAAAAATGTTATAAAGTTTAATGTACCTAGTTTTAAGTATAGCTAAAATAACTAATGTGATTTCAGGCATTACTGTAAATCAGCTGGCAAATGTTTTCCGTGAACTGCAAAATCGTATTACCCTTTGTATTGCTAATGATGGAGGACTTGTGGAATCTTAAATAAAATTTCAATAAAAGCTTAAAAAACATAGATTTACTTCTTTCTAATCCTTTATACAAATTATTTCTATCGCAAATACAAATAAAGTTATAATTTTTTAAAGTGCACATGAACTTTATGGCACCCTGTGTATATAAAAAATAGTTTGGCAAAAACGTTGGACATTTTTATATCGATCTCATATAATGAAATATATATTTTAGCTGAAAATTGGTCTGATGTCATCAAAAAATCACGGAAAATAGTTTGATGTATAGATAGAATAATGATGTCATGATTTTATATGAATAAAATCTTTTTACCAAAAACGTTTGTGTCACCCGTTATATAATGAAACATACATTTTAACTGACCACTAGTCTGGTCTAATAGAAACTCGAGTCAAAATCTTGGACAACTATAATATTCATTTACATAAAAGGAAGAATTTGTCAAAAATAATGAAACCCTTTGTATCAGCCTCATAATGGAATAAGCATTTTAAATGAACGTTGGTTTGGTTTTATAGGAGGCCATGAAAAAGAGTCTAATATCTGAATTAATTTGAATAAAAGATTTTATCAAAAAAAGAAGACATTTATGTATAATTCCCATAGAATGAAGGTCCTGTCTCCAAATTCGCTCATGGCACACGCTCGTATCACTAGTCATCTCACTAGCAATTAAAACGATGTCGCATGGACACAACCTCTGCTTTATAATTAGAAAAGCGTCCTTCAAATGTCCTTTCGATCCATAACGACATTTATGTGATTATTATTCAGTCTTTGTGACTAATTTTCCATGGCGTACAGATTTACAAATGTTACATGTCTCCGTGTTAATATTTATGCAAATATCTCTTTTGTTCAAGAACACAAAAGATCAAAGAGCACGTAATCCGTCCTTTTGTTTTCCATGTTGTTTAATAAAAGTTAGTCAGGTCTGCAGAAAAGCACAAAGCCACATGCAGACGTGATTTGTCCTCAGAAAAAAAGGTCGGAACGAAATGTAGACGATATTTCTGATTTTTATGCCAAAGCGGAGAATAACCAGAATATTCAGAACTCTTTTTGGGAGATTTAATTTCTTTTACAGTAACAAATTATTTATTTAGTTTTATATGCGGTGTAAGGTTATCGGCTCGAAAAAATGTAATCATCAGCTGGAGTTCAAATTCAATCACTTAACTCGATCTCTTTTCTCCCTACTATGGGTTAAATGTTAGGTTTTCCTATCTATGGTTAAACAATATTTTCGTTTTTAAATTTAGGATGCTTGTCTCCGTTGGTTGTTGCATAATTAAAAGATAAACTTGTAGTTCCAACGAATGATTTATTTCATGGAAATATTTCAACTATCGTATGCGTTTACTTTGCAAAGTCTCAAGAGCCACTCAAGATAGAAAACAACCGAATAAGATTGTTTTATTGACGTAATAGGAAGCAATATGAAGAACGGATTATGAGGATAGGTAGGAATGATAACGATTGAAAAAGTTAAGATTGCAGGGATTCGCGGAAGCATCCTCGCGGGAGTCCGTTCCAAAGAATGATATGATGCGAAAGTTTTTAACCAACTCTTAAATTTTGTTTACACTGGGGAAACTTTACCAGTCAAAACGTCTTGTATCGATCGGAAAACGGATAAAGCCAGTTGTAATGGCGGGTGGAGTAGAATAAACCAAATAATTTCCAAATTTTTCTTTTTATTCTTACTGCATTTGGCCCTGCATTGTTATGCAGGAAAACGATATTTCTACTATGGACGAGAAAACGTTTATGGACAAGTTGCAGCTGCTGGAAGTATAAATGTGCGTTTAGTGCTTAATTGTGTTTTAAGAATTCTGACGATCCAACAAAACGCACAACATTAACTTTATTCTATGAAGCTCAGCTTAAAGGGTTTATCCTTGTCAATCTCCTGTCTTTTATGTTAAACATTGTTGTACGTAACCCATTTTTCATCATCTGTTATGATATAATTAAGGAACATCATTACCATTGGTCTCCCCAAAACTGATATTACATGTGAGTCAACGTAATAGACAGGGTTCTGCCAGTCGACATGTGAACTCATCAGACAATCAGCCTAATGAGCCACATAACAAAACTCATCATCCGAATTCTAATGAATAGAGCGTACATCAGAATTAGACTGGAAATAGGACAAGAACAGAGCGTGTTCGTCAAAGACACTGGGAATTCGATATTTTTGCACAGATAGATAGATAGATAGATAGATAGATAGATATGAACAGGCTGAAATGGTCTACATGTGAACTTTATCGGGCACTCAACCTAATGAGCCATATATAAATCTTGTCATCCGAATTCTGATGAATAGAGTTCGCAGCAGAATTCGACTAGAATTAGAGATGGAAATGGGATATTTATACCCAGAATGATAGATAGATAGATAGATAGATAGATAGCAACAGTCTGTGAGAAAGTGTGTGTGTGTATGTATGTATATGTGTTTGTGTGTGAAAGATAGAGAGAAATAGAGATAAACAAATAGAAAACGTGAAAGTGAATCATAATAAACAGAGATAGATAGATAGATAGATAGATAGATAGATAGATAGATAGATAGATATGAACAGACTAATATATGAACAGACGGAAATAGATATTGTACATGTGAACTTTATCGGACACTCAGCCTAATGAGCCATATATAAATCTTCTCATCCGAATTCTGATGAATAGAGCTCACAGCAGAATTCGACTAGAATTAGAGATGGAAATGGGATATTTACGCCCAGAATGATATCAGAAAGATCTATAAAAATGCAGAAAGATGTGTACGAATCTTTTATAGATTATGCGAAAGCGCTTGACAAAGTACATAAAAAAGAATTTGCAAGGTAATCTTGCTGTATCTAAGAAAGATATTAGAATAATGCAGAACCTTTACTGACAGTAAACCGCCCACATACAGACAGAAAATGAATTCAGTAAATATACAAAATAGAAAGGAGTGTAAGTCTTCTTGTTTTGTCTTGTAACGGCATGTTACAATTTTTGGATACATTATGTAACTACTGAGCTAGCCCAAATGACTTGACTCACTTTATAGTCCACCAATAGAAGGTTAACCAATCAGAAGACGTAGAATATTCAATCCATCGTGTATAAAGGCGGCCATTTTGTTTACTCTCTCCGAATGTCCAGTGCCAACTTGTCAGGCGAAAGAACAGAAGGAAGAACTACTGAACTACGCTCTGCTACTTTACCGGGATATCCACTGCTAACCTGAACAACGCTTTCCTACTGTCTTCGAAATATTCACTGCTAACCTCTGGATTCTATACTCAAAGACGGCCGTCATCATGAACAACACGGCATTCACCCGGGGTGGGTTGAGCCGGCTCCAATTGAATTAAGCGCATCGCGCGTCAAGGCCATCCACTCCCGTCGATCGGCAGCAGAATCGACGGCATGATCGAGCCATTCGCGATTTCAGCATCGGACCCCGAAAAAGCGAGGACCGGACATGAGTTCCATATCTGCTTTGACCGTTGCGAGACACGTCTTGAGTTGACCACCTCGGCGCTTCCTCCAACCAGTGGGTGCGTTTGGCGCCACCAGTTTACGGACGAACTCATCACCAGGCCGCCGCAGCACGTGGCCGAACCACCGGAGTCTCCTGTTAAGCAGAGTTTCTTCCAGGCCCAGAATGTTGCATCTGGCGCGGATGGACGAGGGGATCCGGTCGGAGAAGCGCACGCGCAGGATACAGCGGAGACAGTAGTGATCGAAGACCTCAAGCTTATGAAAATCCACTCTGCGCAGTGGCCAGGTCTCACAACCATAGAGAAGAATTGTTCTGACCATGGCTTCGTAGATTCGCAACTTCGTGAATTGTCTTATCTCCTGGCGAGACCAAAGTCGTTTTTGAAGACGGGCAAAGGCAGCTCTAGCCAAATTTATACGGGTGGTGATTTCATCCTTCGCTTGACGAGTGGCTGCAAAATTGGCGCCAAGATATTTGAAGCTTTCGATCTCTTCCACAGCTTCACCATCGAGGGTTACAGCCACTCGATCAGGTCGGGGGAAGTTCGCAGTTTTCATCAGATTATTCAACCCACAACGTGATGCAATTCTTGGAGAATTAGAAAACTTACTAAGGTTTGTTATTAGTGGTCACAGCCTTACGAACATAAGATACTAGCAGTAGAGCCCGGCGTTGCCCGGGGATGTAACAGTAAGAGATAGATCAAGTATCGACCATCATAAAGACTGAAAAATAAAATTGACAAAGATTATTGTTTAAGGTTGACGGACACGCATGTCTTAATTATTTTTTTGGGGGGGGGTTACGAATTGGTCAAACCCAAACTCAAACAAAAACATTGTTTTCAATCGTTATGAGTCTACCGATTGAATAGAATTTTATTATAAACAATTGTCTTGTAAATGGAATTTTTAAAGCATTCTGAATGTAAAAATAAAGAAAAAAGTGTGCAAGACAATAAGAAACACTACCTGCCAAAAAAAAAGTGAAGTTTTGTTGGAATCGGTTGAAAAATGTAGGAAATCCGATCCCATATATAAACGAACACAGACACACACTCAGAAACAAACTGGGTTTTATTATAAGTATAACTCGATATGAGTTGCCCCCCTTTCATTCTCGACAGCGATGCCTCTTAATCGTGTTTTCAAATTGGTTTCGTGCAAAAACAATTGTGTTTTTCCAATTTTTGTCGCTGTCAGAACCACCGCAAGGTAATTTTACGTAGTCCTGTGAAGTTTTGTTGAAATCGGTTGAAAAATGTAGGAAATCCGATCCAATATATAAACGAACAGACACACACACACACACACACACACAACCTGGGTTTTATAATAAGTATGATGTAGATGACACAGTGTTAATAGCAGACGTAGGAAGAAAACTACAAGAAATCCTGCAGAAGTTAGCGAAGGAAAGTGAGAAGAAAAGACTAAAGATCAACTGCAAGTAGACAGTCTGCAAGGTTATCATTAATAGGAATCATCCCGACATACGAGGGTAAGTCACAAATTATCCGCACTTTCGCTATAACTTATCTGTGCTATGAGTGCGCATAATTTTTTTTGACTTTCTTCGTACAAATTAGAAATTGGAGATATCAGAAACAAAGTAGTACAACAATCTGGGAAGTGTTTCGACACTGAAATCCAATGGTGCATTGGGATAACGAATGGTGCTTTCCAATAACTGTGTCAGAGAGAGAGAGTCTGGGAAACACGTACGCACACACACACACACACACATATATATACATATATATATACATATATATATATATATATATATATAGCGAAATTGGAGTAGATTTGAAATTTGATCAGAACATTTTGTTTACTGTTGAGGAAATCTGATCTAGGGCAGACGTTGTATCCATTGAATCTGTGTCATCAGAAGACAATAGAAATGGCCGAAATAATTTTTATCGATTAAAAATTGAAATAGAGCTGAGTAAGCTAGAAGGAACTTTGGAATTCACATGATTTTGGTTGAAGCAGACAGAATCCCCGTGATAATCGGGTGCGAAGTAGTAGGGTCATGGGTCAGTTATAACCAGCCAGGTTTATCTATATAAACGCATAGTTATGTTGAAAAAGACAAGACGGGAGAAAATTCTTGAAGAGAGAAGAGAGAATTGGCCCGGGCGAGCGTTGGGAGGAGGAATACCACTATAACTTTAAGCCCCGCACAGAAATCTTTATCCCTCCATCGCAAGAGTCATATATCGTTCTGAGACGATTTAACAACAAGATAATCACACACACACACACACACTCTCTCTCTCTCTCTCTCTCTCTCTCTAGAATTCAGTGTATGAGTTTTTTGGGTTTTTTTTTTTACTTTTCTTTTCTGTAACCCGTTTCTCTTCTCTACTATTCTTTTCTGCTATATAAAAGACATTACCAATTCAACCATTGAATTGATGTTTGTCCGGCTTTCTTCAGATATTAATTTTTTTTTTTTTGCTGCATTCTAAATTTCTTAGGGCAGACTCCCCAGCCGTGTCTACATCTTCAGTCGACCGTGAATGGACGGACATTACTTCTGCTTTCTGGATCAAACAAATCACAAGGTTGGCAGGAAGCAGGATTAAACCAGCGGACCGGTCGAATAATCTACGGATTCTCAGGGGAACTATGATCACTCCCTTAAGTTCGGTTAGGACCGAGTAGACACCTTAACCACGAGAATAAGACGCTTGAGTAAGTGGATGGCGGAACAAAGTTTAGGAGATGTAACAAACAGACAGAATTCATTAAGAGCTACAAAAACAGGAAGTTGTGGAGGACCATTATCTGGAATGTTCTGAAGGGACAAGAAGAAGAAACTTGAGTAAGTGGATGGCGGAACAAAGTTTAGGAGATGTAACAAACAGAGAGAATTCATTAAGAGCTACAAAACCTGGAAGTTGTGGAGGGCCATTATCTGGAATGTTCTGAAGGGACAAGAAGAAAAAACTTGAGTAAGTGTATGGCGGAACAAAGTTTAGGAGATGTAACAAAACGACAGAATTCATTAAGAGCTACAAAAACAGGAAGTTGTGGAGGGCCATTATCCGGAATGTTCTGGAGGGACAAGAAGAAGAAACTTGAGTAAGTGGATGGCGGAACAAAGTTTATGATATGTAACAAACAGACAGAATTCATTAAGAGCTACAAAAACAGGAAGTTGTGGAGGGCCATTATCCGGAATGTTCTGAAGGGACAAGAAGAAGAAACTTGAGTAAGTGGATGGCGGAACAAAGTTTATGATATGTAACAAACAGAGAGAATTCATTAAGAGCTACAAAAACAGGAAGTTGTGGAGGGCCATTATCCGGAATGTTCTGGAGCGACAAGAAGAAGAAACTTGAGTAAGTGGATGGCGGAACAAAGTTTAGGAGATGTAACAGAGAGAATTCATTAAGAGCTACAAAAACAGGACGTTGTGGAGGGCCATTATCCGGAAGGTTCTGAAGGGACAAAAAGAAGAAACTTGAGTATGTGGATGGCGGAACAAAGTTTAGGAGATGTAACAAAACGACAGAATTCATTAAGAGCTACAAAAACAGGAAGTTGTGGAGGGCCATTATCCGGAATGTTCTGAAGGGACAAGATGAAGAAACAAAAACAGGAAATCCTGGAGAGCCATAGCTTAGTCATATGGGAATAACCTACCTAACCTTCTTGTGTAATTGGATAACAAAAAAAAGGTATAGTAAAAAATAAGAACATTGCTAATAGTTATAAAGGATAGGAAGTTGTGGAGAGCCATGATCACACACGTTCTGTCAGCATATTGAAGAAGAAGGTAGAGTGTACTCCAGCTCCCGGCTCCAGCGACAGAGCTGCTCTTTTTCGAACAATGTTATCCTGTTCCATATTTTATAACTTTTTTTTTTTTACTGACAACCTCGCTGGCTTCCTCTTCTTTGCCTTCGATCCGATCAATTTCTCTCCTGTCCTGCTTCAGTTCAGCGATTTCTCACACTTTCATCGATTTCCAATGTCCACAATATCGGGGTTGTCCTTCCAATACAGATTACGGTATATAAAACAACAATAATTTAAATGCTAAAAACAAAACTCAGCCTTTCAGAAATATCAAAGACCATCCGTTTCCAGCTTTGTCTAAGTCGATAACGATTTACATTGAATGTGTAAACAATACCAACGAAAACAAAAGTAGCACAAACATTGAACTCAAGATGATAGATGATATGGCAAGCGGCCAGTCGTACTATAATATTAGGCTAAATCATAAGTAATTTCCGTTTTGGGGAATTTTGTGACGGACAGTGACTGTTAATGATTAACTATAACTCAAGACTTCAATGTTAAAATAAAACAGTGTTTAATTACAACCGCAAATAAATACTTAACAAGAACATAGAAGTAAAAGTCAACCAAAGATAACCATTTCAGTGAAATCCTTGTTAGTAGCGCGGCTCGGCTCGGCTCGGCTTAACGTCCGGTAAATCCTAAAGCAAAACCCAAATCATCGACGCACATTAATTCACACTAATTCGACTGGATAGTTCCACTCTATAGTCACTCAATAATCACTCCAGTCAGTAGCCTGACACCGCTATTTATACACATGACGGAAAAAAATATGTCCATAAGTCCAGAGTGTCACGCTCGAACTTTGGTGTCGGTAGTTACTCATTTTTTTTACAAAATGACAAGATTGTAAGAATTTGCCTTTTTTTTCTTTCTTTTTCTTTTTGGAGATAATAATGGTTTAGTGATACTAGTTTTGCTAGTTAATTCAATGTTAAATAAAACAGTATTTAATTCCAACCGCAAATAAATACTTAACAAGAACAAATAAATAAAAGTCAACCAAAGATAATTAACCGCTTTAGTGAATACTTTGTTAGTAGCGCGGCTCGGCTTAAATCCTAAATCAAAACCCAAAACATCGACGCACAATAATTCACACTAATTCGACTGGATAGTTCCACTCAATAATCACTGTAGTCAGTAGCCTAACACCGCTACTTATATCCCTGGTGGAAAAGTAAGCGCATATGTTTTTTCCTTTAACATTATTTTTAGTTTAAGTTTATTTTTACTTTTATATTTTATTGATTTATTAATTTATGATATTATTTTTTTCCCTGTATTCATTTTTTAGTATTCATTCCTTTTTTCTGTATGAAAATAGACTGCTCAATTAACTTGCCGGTATCCTATAAATAATTTAAATTTATACCTGATGATTGCTCTATACATGAAACTTCGAGTAGCATCGAGTGGAGAGAGACAAATATAATAATTATTCTTAATATACAAAGATATGAAGAGACTGAGATAGATAGTTTTGTGACACACGATGGTCGTTAATGATTAAGTATAACTGTAGACTTCTATGTCAAGATAAAACAGTATTTGATTACAACCGCAAATAAATACTTAACAAGAACAAAGTAAATATCAACTAAATATAATTAACCATTTCAGTGAAATCTTTGTTAGTAGAACGGCTCGGTTTAACGTCCGGTAAATCCTAAATCAAAACCAGAATCATCGACGCACAATAATTCACACTAATTCAACTGGATAGTTCCACTCAA